ATATATATATAAATATATATATAAAACTTTGTAGTTTTTTCTGGTTTTTGATGTTGAATCTGTATCTATAATGTATCCTAGTAGTGACCACATACTTCTGACTGTATAATTGTACATTTGTAAACCCTTGTAATGTAAGTGCTTTACCACCCTTTTTTGGTATGAGATGAAAAAAAGAAAAAAAAAAATCACTAGAAAAAATAATCTGTGCATTTCAGTGTATATTCTCACCTCATTGGTTGTGACATATGAGTTGTTGTATATTGTAAATTGTAATATCAAATTTTTTTGTTTTGAAAAGCCCTTTCTATACAGCGTAGTACTTGTACAAAGATTCGCCACGCTCGGTTTTATCATTATCATGTCACTGCTTAACTTAAAGACGTTCGGTCTCCCACTGTCTCCCAGTTGGACACATTCTGTTTGACTTAGTGGTGTCTTCTGGCTTATGTTGAAGGTTCTTTTTCTTTTTTTTTTTCTTTTTTATTAAATGATCTTTTTATAGGAGTGCTTTACCCCATGATTTTTTTGTGCATCGGTATGCTGGTTGGGATGGGGAATGAAATTTTACTCTTTCAAGCCCGCCCGACTCTTCAGTTCCCCATCACTGATTTCTGGGGTAAATCCGTGGATTGTACAGAAGAGATTCTTGTGTTTTTTGTTTGGCATTTTTCTCTAGTGCTGTAAGTGCTGTATCATACATGTTTTTTGGGTAAGAGAGAGGCGTCCCGCCACGGCGGCGGTGTACATTTGGAGCAGCCTTGTGTATATTTACTACGAGCACACCTGTAACCATATGTGTATAGTTAACAGAACCTGTGTATGCTTATTGCCTGGGCAACTATTTTTTGTAACTCCTGTTGTAGATTGTCTCTAAACAATTGTGTGATCTTTATTTTGAAACCAAACAAAACAAAAAAAACTTTGAAAATTTCACAGTCTCTAGTGTGTTTCATTTTGCATGTTTGAAAGTTTCTTAAAATGTGCTGGAATTATTCATTTTGAGCTTTTTAAGCTTATTTAAAAGGAAAGATTGGATGGGGAAAAAAAGCTAACATTGTGAAGTTTGCACAGTGGTGGTTCTAGACTAAATTTACCTTTGGTGATGGCGATTTTTCATGAGGGCAAAAAAATAAGCAAGCAAGAGCATGTTTTTTTTTTTAGTCTAAGTGAGCCGCAAACATGTAATTTCTAATTGGTTATAAAAAGTATTAAAGAGGAAATATATCTGTATGATTTAGTATCATACTGCTAACACTGATCTAAAAAAAGTTAAGTTTCTTAAAATATGTGAATTTGCCCTTCATTGAGTGTTTTTTATTCCATCAGCAAATTTATCTTCTCTACCTGCTTAAATCAATATAATATACACCTATCTTTAAGAAAAAATGGAATTGCATTTAAATTTTGTACAATTTTCTGTACGGGGCCAAGAACAGCTCTACATGTGGCCACTGTCTAGAATTACCCATGATTTTGCATCAACAATAAAAGATCCTAAACAATGAAAAAGTTTGTCCACACCTAACCCCTGTGTGTTATAGCCACTTGAAAACATCTGGCTGGATATTTAATCTCTAAAAATCAGAAGTTTTAAGCATCCCTCTTGGGCTTTTACAATGTGTTTGGTACAGATATAGAGGCATTTAAAAAAATAATTAGAAGTCAGATTTAATAGCGGGTTTAGGCTCTTACTTTGCAAACTCATCTTTATCTGGGGGTGAGGGCCCTTTAAGCTTGACTTAGATCAGCAGCCGACCAGATGGATGAGTTGAATGCCTTCTGCAGAACTGTTTTATAGCCAGACAAGACATGCAATTAACTGTCTGGCCACAAAACATGAAGCAACTCTGATGGATTCATGGTGATTCAATAGAGCAAAGTGGTGGTATTATGCTGTGGGCCCCTTTGACTACCAGTGACGCAGTTGCATTGTAATAACTGGATGGAATTTTTAAATATAGGGAGCCACTCCCAAATAAATCCTTTAAGTGCACGGAAATCGATGCTTGAAACTTGGAAAAAAATGAATGTTGCAGCAGGAGCACAAAGCTGACCAATCAGAGTTCTTCACAAGAAAATTAGAAAAAGATGAGGAGAATGATGCATGACTTTAATCTCTTCAAGAGACTTCAAAATAGATTAATGGCCCTCATAAAAGCACAAGATAAAATAGTAAAAACTACTGAGTCCATTCAGCATGAGATCAGATTGATTAGCAGTATACTCCTGCAAAACAAGTGAAGAATATATTCTTCCTCTTGTCCTATAACTGGTAAATCCACAATAAATTCAAAGCTTTTTACCTGGTTGTCGTTTTAAAATCCCTCAGCTAGGTTCACGTATAAACCCTCTTGAAAAAAGATCCAACATAGGGCTTTAAAAGTCTCCCAGGTGTCGTCTGTCGCAGCAATGTGGCTCGGATGACCAAGGTGCTCTGCTGATGCTCTGGCTGATTAATGAGGCTTGCGCCCTAATGTGGCCCTCCTGACAGGCGACAACGCTGAGCCTCCCCCCCAACTAAACAATCATTTAACTCATGTACCACCAGCAGGGTCTATTATTTCAGCTCCAGATCATTCAACGATCACAAGTGGAGGAAGAACGATGACACGAGGGATAAGATGAGTCATGCAGGCTCCAGTTATTGCTCTGCTTAGAGTTTGGATTGAACTAATGGGCTCCAGGAAGCATGACGGTAAACATTCAGGCTGTTGGGTGATAGAAGGTATCTGTGGAAACATATCAGCCCTCCTGTGGTCTTTAAGTTACATGGTTACGACAGTCTGACTTGTTCTGACCTGTCCGGCTTTTGTTCACAGCGATCCAGATGTTTGTCTGAACATTGGGCTGGGGGCGACTCTGCTGCTCCAGACAGGAATAGGGTGATTTTCTTAAAAAATATCAAGATGGTCAAAAATTAGAACCAACTGCTTTAAGTTAAGACTGCTAATGTGGGGTTGTTGCTTATTTTGGAGTGTGAGTTCCTTCAGTTTCCTCTTCAGCAGATGGAATGTTTTAAAGAAAGTGAACCCTCCTTTAAGTTGATAAAATAGTTTTCCTGATCCTATAATTTCAGTTGCTGCTATCGCTCGTTTCATCATCTATACGGAAAAAAATACACATGCTAGAAGCAAACACATAAGCCCAAACCATGATGATTACTCCCTTTGTTTCTGCATCTCATAGGTCCATAAAACCTTGGTTCTTCATGCTAATTATTGGTTAGTATAGCAGATTGGTGATACCTTCACCCCCGCGCTCTGGTGATTGCATCTAAGGACACAAACAGTTTTGTTTTTAGGGTTTTTCCTTTGAAGTGCAGCCATTATTTCTATTGTTTAACTGCTGACTACTCCCTTGATCTACCTGTTTTATATCCCTTACTTAAAACCGCACTGGTTTCTTTCTTCTTCTGGGGATTCTGAATTATTACTGAGTTATTAGCTCTCCTTGATCTCCAGCTACTCTCAGCCCCTCCATACACCCTTTACAAATATTAAAATATATACACAGAAAAAACAACAAAGAACAGACATCCTTACTATTTATAGCTTTAATGATCAGTTGTTAATACCGAGAAGCTGACCTTGATGATTGAATCACTCGAGGGAAGTGTATATGATCAGGTTTTAGTTAGAACATATGGATGAAATAAAAAACATAACTTGAAGCAACTGCAAAATATATATAGGCTCAAATGTTTAAACAAGTAATTAGTAATAAATGAAAAATAATTATTTTGGTATTTGTTTTTTAAGCCCGTGTAGAATTTGAGGATTTATCGCTTTGTAACAATTTTTTTATTGTGTCTTTGTAGTTGACATTTTCCTTATCTTTTGAAGTCTGAGTCTTTAATTATGTTTTTGCTCTTTGTATAACTAATTAATTGGAAATAAAAAATACATTTTTCAAGTTTGAGAGACAAAATTAAATCCCAGCCTGCAGGAAACTGCTAACCTAAAAGTTGCACTTTCAAATAACTTAATCTGGATTTAAAGACTTTTCTGATCTTCAGTGAATCTGCAGGTAATGATTCCCAAAGGTCCTCTGAAGGTTATCTCTGCTGAATTTCTCTCTTTTATTTGTGAACAAGAAGAACATTATTAAAAGGCTCACTGCATGTTGCATTGTGCAGATTGCATCGCCTCCAAGATCTGCTGGATGTTGCATTTAAAGGAAATGCTACATTCATTCAGAGAATTTTCTCCAAAGGTTTCCAAAAGATAAGCATAAAGGATATGATCGGTCAACATTTGACAAGAATCCATGCCTGCAGAGGTTGATTATGAAACATGATAGAGTCTCTTGTTTCATGCATGTTATATTTGTAAAGGTTACTTCAAGCTTTCAGGAAACCTGTAAGGAAAGTTCCAATATTCCAACATGCATGTCATTTTGAAATATTTATTACAGTAAAGGTTGTAAAGATTTTTGATGCAAACTTTATAGGTATCATTCTCTATCAATGTCCCAAATAAAGTTCTTTAAAGAAGACCTTTATGTTTTTTCTTCCCCTTAAATATTCTTATTACGATGAAAAGCTTCAATCTTTTCAGATTATAGGTAATATTTCTAAAGGGATCAGTCTCCATAGGAGGAATATTTCCTTAGTGGTTGGATGAGTGTCAGTTTAAACTTGTAACACAACTGTGAAAATTAATTTGGTAAAAGGAGATAGCAGTGATCAGGATGAATTATTAAAAAAGCCGGGTGGGCAGATTAAACTCAAACATGGTTTATTATGCAGTTAATAAGCAGAAATAGAGACAACAGGCTATGGAGACCTTATCTCAGACCAGGTGGCTGTTTTTTTTTTTTTTTAAGGTAACTGTTGTGACATCACGGTGACTCGGCCAATCACAGCAGCTGTCCGTTAAAGGTGTGGAACAGCAACACAAAAGGCCCAGTGTGCTGTGTGGCAGCTGTGTGAGCAGTCATCTCCTCTCATGCATGTTGTTCAGGTTGGATATTTAAAGGCTGCTTGTGTTTTAAACCAGCTGCAGGGGGCATCATTGGCTTTGCCCAGAGAGGTTCCCTAATCTTCTCCTGAGCTGAAACAGACACACGCGGGCTACACACCCCTCCTCCTCCCCCCTGCCAAACTCCAAGGCCGGGCAACGTCGCCATACGGAACATCCTGCGCTCAGCGGAGAGGGGGAGGAGAGAGAGAAGGAGGTGCGCACAGTCTCACTGCGAGAGAGAGAGAGAAGGAGGGAGGCTGGTCTGGCTCCTCTCCTGATTCTTAAATTATCGGCCCCGTGCAGCAGAGATTTGGAGCAACCCGCCGAGGAGACGCGTGCAGAGGGAGGCCCTGCGTTACCTTAGAAGGAGGGGACCTGAAGGACTGATGGTCACATCTGAAGTTGGATAGACTATACTGAGACCCCCGGGAGCCAGAATAAAAAAAAGGCAGGAACGGTAGCTTTCTACTCTTATTTCCACCTCCCTGGAAGAGGGGAGCAGCGGCGGCACCGGGAGGCTGCGCCCGCAGAAACACCGACCATGAAGCTGCCCTGGCTGCTGGCGCTCAGCGCGCTCCTCGCTCACTCCGCCACGGTAAGCCTTTGTTACCCTCATGTGCCTTCCTCCCAGTATGTGTGAGTGTTATCATCCAGGAGATGATCGGTAGGAAATCCTGCACCCGACCTACATATTGGCACCCCACCCCCCAGCTTTTACACACTCACCCACACCGCCCTTTGTGTCTCAGTGTCGGGGTTTTATCGTGGCTTTGCTCCCTTGAGTCAGGAGGAGTGTGCGCACGTGTGTGCGCGTCGGTAATTAGCGGGTTATCTCTAATTGGGGCTGATTACAGCCGCGCGGTGCTGTCTGGCTCTCCGGCTCACATCCTGGCGTTAATGGGCGCACACTGCGCCTATGGCCACTTTATTCCCATGAAGTCGCTCCGTGGGACGGCGAGGTGGATGTGAGGCGCGCGGGGTGGGGGGAGGAATGATCAGACGTCCGGATGCCAGAACCTGGTAACCCCTCCCCCCCCCTGCTGTGATCGTGTACTTGTGGAACATAGAGGGGGGGGGGGACTTATCTGCGATGCGGAGCGCGGACCAGAGCTCCGATGGAATGATGTCATCGGGATCCGCGAGGACGGCAGCTGATTGGGGATGCGCGAGCCCCCACCACCTCCACACCGAGCTTCACGCGCTCCCCCCAAACACACCTTCCGCCACCGATTAATCCTGATATATCCCACGAGCAGAAGGAGGTGGTGGGGGCAGAGCTGAATCATTGAGAGAAAAGCAAACAGGGAGACTAAAAATAATCGAACCTGAAAAAGGAAAAATGCTTTCACAGATAGGAAGACTGGACGTTTCCTGGTTGTTTTAAATCCTTTAATGCTTTTTTTTTTTTTTTTTTTTTTTTTAAACAAAATGCATAAGTTATTTCATGTCTGCAGCAGCTTTGCACTTTAACGCAGGGGCGGTTTTTACATGAAGGGCGTCCAGGTGCAGGGTCCCCCCTCACACACACACCTTCACTTTATACCGAGTTAAAAAAAATTATAATAGATAACAAAAATAACGATGGACTAAGTATGACTTTTTGATTTTTCATTCAGCAAATTTCAAATCCAAAAGGATAGTTTTATTGTCTAGAGTTTGTTTTTTTTTTATTTGGTAAAGGCATAAACCATTTCTTTACAGAATTTTATAAATTGTTTACATTTTCCTTCCCCAAAGGTGTTGATTTATAAATACAAACAAAACAAATTGCAGATACCAAGACAAATACATAATTAAAATAAAAAAAGTCAATAGTTTAGAGAGAACACTTTAATATGTCAATCCATACACATTTCTTATTCCTATCCATTCCAAAGATGAAAATTATTACAGTTAGAATTTTTAAGGCTTTGTCATTTTGCCTGTTCATATGTTGCACCTTTTGTCTCTTTAATAACGACTTCAAAACTTCTGCCTGACAAGGGGTGTTTCATATATTTTGTCATCCGTTAATCTAAAGTAATCTTTATTCGTTTCATTCTCTGCTTTGAGGAAACATGGGATTGACTCCCAAGGAAGTGAGTCATATTATAAAGATTGACAACATCTTAATGACTATTTCCTTTCATGTTCATAACAATACCTACCTACAAAGCAAAGAAAATAATAAACATTTGATCTAGGAAAAACAAAAAAGGGGCAAATAAAGCATTTTTGAAAATCTGGTTATATTTCTGAGCGTGTTGAAGGCTCCCTCTGAAAGCAGTTGATATGGTTTTTTCCTTACCTGTGCTTTTAATATAATTGCTGCTTATCCCACTAAATTAATATGTGTGAGAGATTTTCTTTAATAAATATCCTTTTTTTAAAGGTTAGTATATCCTCTTTTTCCATGGAAAATACCGGGTTAATACGTGTTTTTCAAACATTGGTCGACCTGCTAACGATCGGCATTCAGCTCTCTTCCTATTGGCTAAAAAAGCAGTGTCTAACCCCTCGCTGGCAAGCTGCATGGCCTTTGTCCCACCATAGCTGCGTGTCTGGTGACACCATGCTGGGTTAATGTTTATGATTTCACCAGTACAATATAAATTACTAAAGTAAACATTGGAGAGCCACATGTAATAAAGCCAGGGCGAAGTCGGTGTGTTTTATTGTTTCACTCAATTATCTTTCCAAACCACTGACCAGTGCTGCGCCATGTTTAACGGCTTGTTAGATCAGACGTGGCTGGAGCAGTGGATTGACATCCTTACATTGCATTCAGTGGTGTCACGTAAATCAGTGGTTCAGCCCAGACTCTGTTGTTCCCATTGCATGCCGATCAGAGCCGATGTGATTTTAGCGCAGGTCGTTTGCTAAATGGTTTGACCCGGGTAGAGACACATCAGTGAGCTGTTCCCACTGCCACGAAAAGCCGATTGTTCCGGGGTTTAAACAGATTTTTCGGCCAGTGGAAAAGGGGTACATGAGAATTTTTTTTTGTCGTTCATGGTCTAACGATGTGGAACCTGCGAGTATACGCAAAACCTTTTTTCTAGAAGTACTTGGGGATTTATTTAAAAAGTGCTAATTTAATCTTCTAACTGAGGGATCGATCTGTCTTATCTGTTATGACTTCAAGTAGACACAAGAGTTACCTTATTGGTAATGGTGACCTTTGATTTAGCCGATTCTGGTCTAACGTTTTGACATTACAAACACACAGACAACCACTGGATCAGTCGACTGTAATCTTTGCCAGAGATCCTTGGCCTCCTGCCGACCTAATCTGCCTTTAAGTGAGCAGATGGAGGCAGGTGTGACACACTTCCACGCTCAGAGTGACGCTGAGTCTGAGTGCACACAGATAGGTGCAGGTGCTGCTTTAATAGGTGACTCACGAACATGTCAGAGGTGTGATACCTACCGGGCTCACCCAGAGTAACCCTGGTCTTGAAAACTCACACACGCACCCTATCTTTTATCACATGCATTTGCTGACAGGATCTTCTATAATAAGTGCCTCCTGCCTCTAAAGCAGCTGACTTTGTTTGTGGACGTCTCCAGAGTGATGTCTTTTGTGGTCATTTCCTGTTATCCAACTATTTACATCACATCCGGGATGCTGTGATTTACATGGGAGGCCGGTTTTTCCCACAGGCATCTGTGCCCCACGCATGGCCAGTATATTTATGTGTGTGTGAATCCGTTTGCCGTCATGAGAGCCGTGACTGTCCATCTGTCTGGATTTGTGTGTGTGGAGGCTCAGAAGTACCGAATGCCAAATGCTTGTTCTCGCCAGCCCTGTCCCTCCTCAACAAGCGCCCGTTATGGTGTGTTCCTGAGGATCATGTTTAACTCCCTGAATGAATCAGTGTTTTGTGCCTCTGATAGCTAGACAAAGCCCCCCATAGAGAGATGAAGAAACATAGAAGGAGGAAGAAAGAAGGGAGAAAATAGCCAGAGTGAGGCGGATTGTGGGAGAGTGTGGAATGTGAGAGGCAATTTGACACAGGAAGTGGGTCCTTCTCGCTTTCCTGAAGCACAAAGTTCCTTCACACACACAAGCGTATAAACACGCTTGCAGGTAGAAATGCGGCTCGAGTGAAGGGAGACATCTCAGGTGCTTGTGTGTGAAAGGGTTTGATTTTTGGTGGGTGCAGGAAATGAAAAGGATCATGGTTCATATCCGGTGCTGGATTTGGAGTGGCCTGACGTCTGCAGGTTTGCACAGATGAAGCCGCGTATAGAACTCTCCACCCTCCACCTGTTTTCCTGCCTTTTGGCTGTTTATCTCTTGGGAAGGGCACAGAGACCAGAAAGCAGTCCTTTATCATGCGGGATGGAGCCGCATATGACTGAAATTAGATTTTCTTTACCCTCAGAGGGGGTTTAGTGCTAAATTGGCTAAGGGATTTAAGGCGTACACTGGCTTCCAAAGATATTAAAGCCTCTTGAAGTTTTTCCACATTTTGTCACCAGCTAACTACATACTTCAAGGTATTTCATTGCAACTTTATGTGACATACCAACACTAAGTAGTCCATAATTAAGAGGTCAATATAAAAGGTTGTTTTTTTTCTTAAATAAGGGTCAGAAAAGTGTGACGTGCAAGTGTGCTTAGCAGCTCTTGAGTGCAGGATATTTTACAGCAGTTGCAGCTGCAAGCTCATCCAGAGAAAGACATTTATGCACACTCTTCTGTGTAAAATAAATTCAGTCAGATTTTGACCAGAACATTATAAAACATATTTAGATTTTGTCCTGCTGGAAGGTAAACTTTGAATCCATCTCTTGAACCTTAAAGCTCCAGAATTACGTTATATTTAGCTCCTTTCATCTTCCCATCAGATCCAACCATCTTACTTTCCCCTGCATGATGCTCCCGCCTCCATGTTTTACTGTGGAGATGTTTTCCGCTCATTTTTCTTTTCCTTTTTAACTTCATCCCCTTCCCTTCAGCTTCTCTGCTATACACAACTTTGCCTCGGTCTATAAAATATTTTCCAGATGAAATAATGGAGATTAGTGAATTCCTGACCCTATGTTTTACAAAGTTGTTTTCAGTGTACCTGTTATTTGCTGATAAAGCGATGTGTCTGCAGCACAGCAGGTGTTTCCGCATTCAACAGCAGAAAAAATCCGCACAGGTTGAGTAATGATGGCTGTGCCTCACATGGGAGAGGTCCCACTGCTGTTCTGCAAACCGCTTTACAGGAAAGCTGAAAGAAGCGGGTTGTGAAGTTCACCTGGGCTGCTGTTCTTGCCGCTACAACAAGTCAAAACGTCTGCAGTGGAAAAACTGGGGCTGCAACTCTACTGCCACGTCTGGAGTTTTACTTTTTAATGAAAACTGTTGTATACAAGACTCGAGAGCCTAAAAGAGCCTGCAGTAATCTCAGAGCCGTGTTTACCCTCCTACTGTACGTCAGACTGCACACCCAGTAATTTAGATGCCACCTCTGACCAGCTGTCTCATTTTTCATTTCACCCCATCGCTTCTCCGCTCAATTGTAAATACTTGGTTTTGTACCTAAAGGAGAAACAATCTGTTTCCTCCTCTCTTTAATGTAAAGTTAAACTTTTGCCCCCTAGCAGTCACAAGATCAAGAC